GGATTGTTTCATTGGCTACAAAGCACCTGAAAATGAACTTAAAATAATTTTTAGTAAAAGATCTGACTATGGCTGTGGTCCTGTGTAAGTATAACTTATAAGTAAGTTATACTGTAAGTTACTAAGTTATATATATATATATAGTTTTAGATAATTAAGTTTTCCGTAAGTAAGTTCTAACTTTTTTTTATATATATATATGTATTTTTTATTTCATAATTAATCTTTAAATTTAACTTAAATTTATGTGAAATAATGAAAGTATATAAAACAAATTTACCAATCGCATTTCATTATTTTTCGACTGTAAAGAAAATAGTCAATTGTGATTGATCAATTTCTTACGGTTTAAGACTTACTACACCTATTGAGTCTTAATAGGCATCTACATTGGAAATAAGCAGTAAGAAGTAGGAAGTAAGAGTAAGAAATTTTTTTTTTGACCAACCATAGTCGTATATGAGAAGAATAATCAACTATGATTGGTCAATTTCTTATTCTTACTTCCTATTTCTTACTGCTTACTTTTAATGTAGACGTCCCTTTATGCGTCGTCTACAATAACAGCAGGAGTAGTAGTAAGAAATAAGCAGTAAGCAAATTGATCAATTCCATTCCCACGACTCAAGAATATTCGATTGTGTTTGGTCTATTTATTTACTGCTTATTTCTCACATTCGACTGTGGTTGGTCAATTTCTTACTCTTACTTCCTACTTCTTACTACTACTTACTACTTACTGCTTGTAGACGCCCCTTAAGACTCAATCTACAATAGATGTAGTAAGTTTTAAGCTGTAAGAAATTGATCAATCACAATCGACTATTCTCTTTACGGTCGAAAAATAATTAAATGCGATTGATAAATTTGCTTAATATACTTTCATTATTTCACATAAATTTAAGTTAAATTTAAAGACTAATTATGAAATTAAAAAAAAAAATATATATATATATATAGTTTTAGATAATTAAGTTTTCCATAAGTAACTTCTAACATTTTTTTTAACCTTTAACTTTTAACTGAGTTCATATTTTATTTCAATAACTTTTAACGTAAACTCAATTATTTTATAGCGAATTAACTTTTAACTTAACTCAATTAAAAACCAAAAGTAACTTACCCAACCCTACAAACATATGATTTTCTATATAATGAAGAATTTTCGTAAACAAAATATAAATATTAAACTAAGTAAAAACTAAGTTTTTAATAACATATTTTTCATTCTTAAAAAAAATAATCCTGCTGAATATATGCTCTTTTCAAAATAGTTATTTGAACATCAACTTCTTTACTTTCTTATTGAAACAATAATTTTCTTCTCTTTACGTTGCAGCTCTTACGAATTATGTCACGTGCACAGAATTATGGACACAGCACTGAATAAGACCGTAGACACAACGTGTCCACTGGGAAAATTGTGAACGTGGCTACAGCTACAAATGTAGTTCTACAGCTACATCTAAGCAATGTAGTTGACGTTTCGCAGATCATGATGATATTAACGCAGACGCAAACACAGACTTGACTTTAAGTATTCTCAGTTTTCTCTCTGTATCTGAAAGACGCAACAAGATGTAGATTAAAATTGGTGTTTTCTATAGACAAAAGATTAAAAATAAAAAATATATAAATGATATTCGAAATAAAAGCAAAAAACTACTATAATATATTATTGTTAAATATATTTATGTACCTCAAACATTTTGTGAGATTGAAGTGAAATGTAATGAAATCTTATTATATTAAGATATCATTGCATGTCTCTTGATAATTTCACTTAATAACTGCGTATATTATACAAGTCCCATTTTAAGAGTGCACCCCAAATAACTTCCTTATTTTTTATTTTAGAGAAAAATATTTCAGAAAGTTGTATAGTTTCGAGGGGGTCACAAGGTGGTTTGACCTTAGGTATTCATTTGAAAATTACGTGAAGGTCACCTTCAATTTCTTAAATGGAACATACCATTTTTCATTACATATTCTTGTAGCTTATCTCGAGAACTTTCCAAAACTCTATAATAAAATATTTTTCTATTGCGTACTTTTCGAGTTATAAAGCTCTAAATTTGCAGTATTTTGATAAAAATACAAATTTCTTTTTCTGTAGTCTTATCTTACATGATCCAGCCAATTAAAACAAGATAATCTGAGCATGACCCAGCCAGTTAAGGCAAGATTCGGATATGACCCAGCTAATCAAGGCAAGATTCGGACATAATCCAGCCAGTCAAGGCAAGATTTGGACGTGATCCAGCCAGTCAAGGCAAAATTTGGATATGATCCAGCTAGTCAAAGCAAGATTTGGACATGATCCAGCCAGTCAAGGCAAGATGAGTTTTTGTACAATTACTTTAAGTGTTCGAAAACTTGGCCATTTACTTGTGTACATAACTTGTGTACATTAGTCTATGCTGAAAATCGTCCCTAACTTTTTGAAGAACACCTGCTTTAATATTTCTACAAGCTTCTCTGATCCGGTTTTTCATATTTTCAACAGTTGTTGGTTTTTTCGAATACACTTTATCTTTAATGTAGCCCCAGAAATAAAAGTCTAGGGACGTCAAGTCGGGTGATCTTGGGAGCCATTCTTGAATTTGGTTGCAGACCAATCCATCTATTCGGGAATCTTACGTTTAAATATTGTGTAACGGCTCGAGATCTATGAGCCGGCGCTCCATTTTGTTGAAACCACATTTGTCTGAGTACATCGTTGTCGACATGTCTTAAGAGGTTGGATAGGTCATGTTGAAGAAATGTTAGGTAGTTTGCCGCATTGAGGTTTTTTTCAAAAAAATATGGACCAACAATAACATCTCCCAGAATACCTACCCAAACATTAATAGACCACTGCCTTTGGAACTCTTGGCTTCTCTGCCAATATGGATTAACATCTGAATAATAATGGCAGTTACGTCTATTAACGCCTCCTCTGTTACAAAACGTGGCTTCATCAGAAAAAAGCATATAAGCAACAAACCGGGGATTTTGTTGGATTGGCTGTTGATTTAGGTATACCGTATTGTCTCTCAATTTGTCTCGTAAAGATTTGAGAATTCAAAACAATCTATAACCTATAACAATCAATGATGTTACCTCATCAGGACCCAATTTTCGCCGGTTTCTTCTTAGAAAATCCTGCTCAGTTCTGTCACAAAGTTTTTTTTTATTACTCTCCTATCAAGATGGTGTCTGTCTGGAAATCTTTTAGCGTAAAGCCTTACTGCTGCCGAGTAATTATTCCTAGCCTCACCCAAAATGCGGATCATGTCCACAATTTCATTTGGTGGATAAGCAACCATAATTTTGTAAAAAAAGGCTTGGCAAAAATCTCGAAAATTTCTGTCTTACCAAGAAAAAGTTCATGGTTGTAATACATATGTTTGCCTGCACTGACTGACAATTAATAAACTATAACAATCGTGAAGGTGCAATTGTTAACTCTTTCGATTCGAAAGTTAGTCAGTGCAGAATCATGCTCATATCTTGCCTTGACTAACTGGATTATGTCCGAATCTTGCCTTGAATGGCTAGATCATGCTCAGATTATCTTGTCTTGACTGGCTGCATCCTGTAAGATAAGATTACAGGAAAGCGAATTTGTATTTTTCAAAATACTGCAAATTTAGAGCTTTATAACTCGAAAAGTACGCAATAGAAAAATATTTTATTATAGTGTTTTGGAAAGCTCTCGAAATAAGCTACAAGAATATGTAATGAAAAATGGTATGTTTTTTTAAGAAATTGAAGGTGACCTTCATGTAATTTTCAAATGACTATCCAAGGTCAAATCAATGGTACCACCTTGTGACCCCCTCGAAACCATACAACTTTTGTCTGAAATATTTTTCTCTAAAATAAAAAATAAGGAAGTTATTTGGAGTACACTCTTAAAATGGGACACTCTATATACGTCATTATACTACACTTAAAAATGTCTGAGAACAAAATCATTGGAGGTATCTCTATAGAGTGTTTAACTGAAAAACTAACTACGATACGATCTAGCTGGTACATTTTAGGAAATATAGAATTCGTAAGAGAAGCCTCTACTAAGAGAAATCCTATAAATATTAGCTCCTAAATATCTTGTATCCTGAAGGTAATGTACTTATGATCAGATGTGTATATACTTCAATAAAGAAATAAAAATTTAGATCGATGAAAACTTAAATAAAAAAGAAAAAAATTAACAGAGCTTCACATACTTAAAAAAATAGTAAGTTATTTATACTATATTATAAAGAGATTATATTGTATAAGTGTTTAGAGTAAAGGCACCAAAAGCGACATACCACTTTGTTTTTGAAGGTTATGTCTTGTAATGGAAAGCTCAAAATATAAAAGTAAATATATATACATGTAGTTGGAAGTACCCTCTATCAGATAATATCACATTTTTACTGAAATTGTTTCTAGACTTAAAACAAAAAATGTTTTTGTAAAACGCACGAAAATAGAGTTCAAAGAAAATAGGTGCCAAAAGCGACATACCTATTGGAAGTTATATAACATGTTGCATATATGATAATATTTAATAATAAATAGTTCGTTAATGCGTTTAATGATTGAATAATATTCATTTTATTTAAAAGCAATATTTATGTTAGTGTTCACTGATATATATATAATTACAAATAATTATTGAAAATGATTTACATTTACATTATTGCAGCAGCGTAAATTCATATATAACATATGTCACTTCATAATGTGAGGTTAGAATCAGGTTATGTTAATCACAGATTATCATAGCTATCGCATACTGTAGGTATGTCACTTTAAGGCAATGCTGCTAGGCTTGTTTTCGTAGAATACTTTTTTCATCTAATTGCATGCATAAAACTGTAAATGCTTTTACAGCGTGAAAGTATAAGCGATAATGAATGCCGCATACTAAAAAGTTGCATTGAAATCAATAAAAAATTTTGTATTTACTATTGAAAATGCGATGCAGGTGTCATATTTAGTTTCATGTGACAAATTTAGAGCTCATACGCTTCAAATACATAGTATGCGGCATAGAGAAGACTTTCAGGAACATTATGGAGACATCGTAAGTGAATTTTAATAGATAATTTAAATAAAAAGAGAATTCCAGTAATAAGTAATATGTGTACTAGCGTTTAATGGTTACATGGTAAAGAAGACTTGATTTTTAGTTCACGCATGTCCTGGAAGAAAGCGCTGCATCTTGAGCTAGCTATATATATATATATCTATGCGGAACAAGACGATCGTCAAAATGTCACATTTGATAAGCGTGAACATGTTCGCTCTACTGTTGCGCCACAGTATTTTTTCATATATCGTTCTTTCACAGATGTTATGCAAGTATGTGTGCTACGTTGTCATTTCAATTTTCTTATATTTACACGGTACGTAAATGTAAATATCACGTTGCCGATATTCATATTCTCTCCAAGAGAGTCTTTCGCTGCTTTTCTGATAAATTCTTCAAAATGCTTATGTACTGCATTGAGAGAAAAAAATAAAAAATTGGAATAACTATAATCTCACTATATTTTATAGTTCGTTTTGGCCTCAAACATATATTTATAGTTCATCTAAACATGAAGATATAGTAGAATGAACACAGATTTATAGTCACCATCTTATTATTCTATATATATGATAAAGCACCTTTTGGGAATATAGTTATATGTACCTATATTTATCAAATATTCCAATTGTATTGACTATATAAAATAGTTAATTTCTCTTACCATTCAATATTTGCCACTTTATTACTATATTTTTTATTTAAAATAATTTTAATTCTTGGTAAAAATTTTACACAGGTCAGTTATACTATGCTTATATTGTAAATATTACAAATATTATGGTAACATTTACTATAAAAATTATATTTCTAACTATAATCTTTTTACTATGCCATTATAGTTCCAAATATCATACATTTTTCTCTCAGTGTGGGTGCATCAAAGAAAGAGTTTTTTCGAGAAATATGTTATACGCATTAGAATAATTTACGAATATTGTTTTGAAGAATACATGTTATCTAATATATGAGCTTTCTATATAATTTTCAATGGAAATTAAAATTAAATATTTCACTGTATATTCGCACCCAATTTTATCATATAAATTGGAGCAGTAATTGCGCAGTAATTTTTGCAAAAGGAAATCAGTGTCACGATAGCAATAGTTATACATTGTTTTCATCCCTGCACTGAGAGAAAAAAATAGTTGGAACAACTATAATCTCACTATATTTTATAGTTAGTTTTGTCCTCAAACATATTTTTATAATTAATTTAAACATGCAAGATATAGCAGAGTGAACGCAGATTTATAGTCGTCATCACTATAATAGAAATTAGCACAACCATATGAAATGGTCATAATAAATTTTCTTTTCATGAATTATACTACAAAATATAGTTAAAATATAGTATAAAATATAGTTATTGAAACACAAATAAAAGTACGACGCAATGTAGAAAATAATAATAAACATTACTCATAATTATTGTAAAATATATTTTTTATATATGGTTGCGTTCACTATGCGTTATAATTCCGTTAACTTTTCTAAAAAGATTAATTGTAAGATCTGAAAAGGTTGAATATACATATTTCATTTGGAATCCATGTCAACCACCATCCATGTCACACCAGCAAGCAAGTTATATTACATCTATGTTATAATTTCGTATTTAACAATGTAAATGTAATATAACACATTATTGTTTATTATATTACATTGACATTATTATATTACATTTACATTGACATTATTATATATTACATTGTTTATTATATTACATTGATATTATTATATTACATTGACATTATTCAGTGCAAAATTATAACATAGATGTAATACACCTAATGCTCGGTATTAACTGAGGTAATTTAACAATGTTGATGTATGAAGAAACAATATAAATTAATACAATACAAAATAATGTACAATGTTGTATTTTTTCATAGTACTTTGTTTTATTTTTATTACATTACTTTCTCTCTTAAATTATATAAAAGTAAAATTATAATTATACTTTTTCTCTTTAATTATGTTAACACAAATATTTGTTATTAAATGTTTACGACAAATTTTTCAAAAATATATTAATATTATTGCTATATATATTTAGATATATATTTGCACTGTTAGTAAATAAATGCTGGACAACTGTGTTAATGAAATTAAACATAAATCAATTCTTATAAGATAATTTTCAAATTAAGCTTATTATAGTACATAAAAATTGTGTACATTTAATAAAATTGTGGAAAATAAAAAAAATATACTCTGCTAATTAGAATCCAGGCATTATAAAAACTAACAATACTAACTAACAATAGTATACTTAATAATATGTAAACATCATGACATATTAGACTAGAAGAGAAGTAAATGAAATCTTATAATTCTTTCTCTCTTCTCTCGTTTCAATTCTCATTTCAAATCTGCATAAGTAACGAATACATTCAAAAAATTAGACAAAATTCTCTCTTCAACAACTTATGTAAAAATTGTTATTTGGTTTCTGAATTAATGTATATACTTTGTAGTACACCAAACGACTGAAGTTTACGGTATTGTATTTATCTGAAATATTTATAATATAAGCTTGGTAATGAACATCAAAGTAATTTGTAAATAGATATCACACAGTAGCAACAAAATCAGATACAGATAAAGTGTTGGATACGAAACTATTACTTTTGAAAATAGTTTTCATGCTGTTGAAAATTACAGTGTTGACATAATGCATGATCTATTAGAAGGTGTGTGTGTATATGAAATTAATAATATTTTACATTACTATATCATAGAAAAAAAATATTTCACATTAGAAACCTTGAATTGTCTACAGTTCGTCTACAGTTTTTTAATTTTGGTCCCATAGCAAACCGACCTCCTACAATATCAAAATCTGCAATTTCTGCAAATATAGGAAAGTCATCGTTATTAATTTTTAGACAATTGATCTTTTTTTAAATGTTACATTTCCAAAAGAAACATTCTTTAATATGATATAATTTATACTGTCATATAAGAAATTTCTTTTCTTAGAAATAAATAAAGTACTTTTTTTATATGTAATATATGATAAAGAACCAGATTGCATTTTTGTGAATAAGTCATACAATATTAACTGTTCTTTCATTGCAATACTATAACATAAGTTTACTCTACTGGTAATTGTACGTGCATATTATTTCAAAAGGCAATGTTTCGCTTCAAACCTCATTAACCAGAGAGAAGAGAGAGGTTCAACAATTTTCATAATCCGTGGATAGTGTAACATTAGATGATGTTTCGGTTTCAAAGTTTCGCCGAATAAGTCGATATATAGCATATGATGCTCATAAATTAAATTCTCTAATAGATCTGCTGTTGATTCTGTAACACTATCTTCAAGCGTTATAAGAATTTTTTGCAACAATATGTAAAGTTCCCAATATTTGTCATCAAAATTAGTTATAAGATCACCAAAAATTAAGCCAATGTTTAATACGAAACTAAGCATTTCAGAAGCAGACATTTTTAATTTTTTGTTTAATAATTGCGATTTTGATATTGTAGGAGGTCGGTTTACTATGGGACCAAAATTAAAAAACTGTAGACGCCAATTCAAGGTTTCTAATGTGAAATATTTTTTTTCCATGATATAGTAATGCAAAATATTATTAATTTCATATACACACACGCCTTCTAATAGATCATGCATTATGTCAACGCTGTAATTTTCAATAGCATGAAAACTATTTAAGACATTAAATGCACATTTTTCTTTAATACCTGTGAAACTTGAATCATTAGTTGCTACATCTTCAACATAATTTACTCTATTGCGTAATATATTAATGTCTTCACTACATAATTTGCGAGAAATGTTTTTTGGTACTTTACAAAATCGACAGCAGATACCGGTCGAAAAATTTTCTACAAATTCTAAAATACCATAGCCCCAAATTGTCACCAATAATTAATGCCAATTTAAAATATACTTGAATTTCTGTAGATCCTATGATCAATGTAATGCCTTCTTTTTCTAAAAATATTAATTCTTGAATTAAGTATGAATAAATTAATTCTTTTGAAAACATTTTAGAATCATCTGCATGATATAATTGTGCAAGAAAAATATTATTTAATTTGGAAAATATTTCTGGTGACAAACATGGTATCGAAATATACATTCCGGATAATTTGTATATACCAGCATGTGATCCAAGTAGATTAATAGTTTCAAAAGCATCTTCGTATAGAAGCAAAGGAAAAATAAAAGATTTTCCCCCTGAGACATTTCAGATTTTCGATTTCCAAAAATCGGTTTGTATAATATTGGAAATTTCGTTATTTTTATCTAATGTTGCAATATACTTAACAGTTTTTTGAAACATGTTGTTTATTTCAAAATACGCTTTTAAAACCTTTCTTAATGGCATTAATTGTCCATACACATTTTGAATTTCTAATCCAATATTACTCCTAATTTCCATTGTTCCAAACATTTTTTATAGGTTGAATATCATGTCTAAAATTAGTTAAAAATTTGTTCCTTTTATATTCACTATCAATATCGTTAAAGACATTTTGCAATATCTTAAATTGTTCAACTATATCATCCGAATTTGCAAATTTCATGAGAGATATTCTTTTTTTTATATCGTTGACATATTTAGTATTAAGGAAAGAATGAAATATGCGCGTAACGCGATCAATTTGTAATCGGGATGTTGCATCAGCGTGTAAAGAAGATATTAATTGCAATGCTAGTATGCGAAGTTCATTACGTACATCTTCAATATTCCAATTAGTATTAACATTTATATCACAATTACTACAATCAGATTCGATTTTTTCGTTACAAAAATGCAATTGTGAAGTCATATTATTAATATTTACATGTTGTAAAATATCGGATTCACTTATTGCTGTTTTCAAATGTTTGCAATGCTTTTTATGTTGCTGAGTTTTATAAATAGAATGTTATGTTGAAGAGTTTTATAAATATTATGTTGAAGAGTTTGATAAATAGAGTAACAACGATTACAATTTTTGAAATCACGAGTATATTTCATAGAAACAATACGATGTTCAAAACATATATGAAATTTTAAATACCTTTTTGGAAAGGTTTTACGACAATATTCACATTTTATCATTTTTTCGAATATATGTGCTTATAACACTTTCATAAACAAGTTAGCAATGCTGTAAATTATTATTTGAATAACTTATTATTTAAATAACTTACTAGGGGTTAAGCATAAGTTGCTATATGTCGTGCCAAACAGCATCTATAGAGATGAAATTTCGACATTTGGTTTGGGTAGTAACGCTGTAAACATATTTTTGCAAGAAATACCATACAATTTCCGAATCTACCGGATAGATAGCATCTAGCGCAAAGAAAACTTGGAAGCATAAATTTACTGCACTCATTAAATTCGTTAATGTGTACTTAACATCGTTAATAATCACGTAGAAAGATGTAAAATTTACAATGGAACCCACTGCAACCACCGTTGGCTGAAATGTTA